TTTCTTTGTGTTTTGTAAGTGGAACCGATGTTGATTTCCTAGTTTTTAGCTCTTTATTTGTTTTTGTTTAGACTTTAGGTTAGGTTCGATAAGGTTGAGATCAAGATGTAATTCTTTCATATTAATCGGTGAGGATATCTAACACATTTGGCACCATAGATTTTCCTTTGTTTGATAGATGATGATGATGAGGGAGCCAAGGAATGGATGCCAGGATTTTGCACAAAAATCGGCCTTTACAAATTAATCGGGGGAGTATCTCGTAACCTCTGCTTTTGTTTTTCTATTCCTTGGATGTGGATGATATGACTTTGGGGACAATGTCATTTCTAGTTTGGGGGTAGGAAAATTTTGAAAATTTTTGTGTTTAGTTTGTTTGTGTGTCTTAGCTCGAAATTGTGTTTCTTTTTGTTTTAAGTTCTTTGATTGTTATTTGTTTAGTATGTTTGTGTGTGTTGTGTTGTTGTTGTCTAGATGAATTGCATAAATCTATGATGAGATTTTGATTGTTGGTATACTATTATTGGAAAATGCAAAGCATTGCTTCAAGTTAGGTTGGTTGATTAGGTTGATCTAGAGGTTTGTTAAGTGGTTCAACCACCATTTTCATTCTTTCGGTATGCTTAGATTCATTTTATGTGGTTAGGTGAAGTGTTGATAAAGTTGGTAGACCCTAGAACCTAGTTGAGAGGTGCTTGAGGCGGAATTCTAAGATTAGACATTGTTGAGGAAATGATTTAGGATTTTTTTTCCAAAATGTTTAAGCCTTTCCAGCCGACCCATGAATGAATCTTTCCCTAGTCATCCATTTGAGGCTTATGAGATTTTCATTGCCTTATTTTTCTTGCAAACTAAAAATTTTCCAATCCCTATATCTTAAACACTTTATCATACCTTTTAGGAGAATTATGGACCTAATATATGACACAAAAGAGCTTTGAGAGGTGTGTGAATAAGTGATGGACCAAAATTTTAAGTTTGGGGGTTGCAAAAAGGGCAGGAAAAAGGGGCAATAAACCTCAATGGTGTTGTAAGTAATTGTTTTTGAGTAAAAAAAAAAAAAAAAAGGTTTCTTTAGTTCAATTCAAAATCAAAAATAAGAAATGCATAAGTTTGGGGGTTGTAAAATGGTTGACACTTTGATTGGTGGTTGAGAAAGAAAGCAGAGATTGATGTAGCTCTTAGTGTTTGCATAAGGAAAACCGAGTTCTCGTACTTTGTTTATCCTATCCTTTTCCTTGGAGCCCACTCACCTGAGCCTAACGTTACAAGCCAATAAAGACCTTCTGATCCTTAGTGATGTCTAGTCCACATTAGTGGAGAGTAGTTCGATACTTAGGCTTATGGAGTCTACCACCATTTAATAAACTTCACATTTTTGCATAAAATAATCCAGGAAGTCGGAAGGTAGATTGAAATGGGAATTACCTACTTAGGGGACCCATAGAGAAAGATAGTCAATTCAATTATAACTTCTTGGAGTGTTGAGTATTTTCCCGTAATATTGTTTCAACAATTTTTAAGACTTGCATCGTCAATTAATTTTGGGTAACGTATCTTTATTTTGTAGTTTTCCTCTTTTCTCATTTTGGTTTAATTTTGTGTTTCCTTATGTTTGCTGTGTTGTTTTTCTTTTATTTTGTTTTTGATGCTCGAGGACGAGCATACCTTACGTTTGGGGGTATTTGATAATCCATAGATTATACTGTTTTTCTTGTTTATTTGGTAAGATTTTCGGATACTTTTCCTTGAATTTAGGCCTGAATTGCCACTTAATTCGTTCATTTCACATTTCAGGTCTAAAACGCATTTCCAAATCGAAACGAAGCAAAAACAAGGTCAATCAATTCAAATTCGAGAGTCTTCAGAGTCAGGAATGTTGGAGGTTGATTGGAACCACCCTTAGAGCTCAAATGAACAAAAAGGAAAGAGAAAATCGAAGATTCAAGTGTTGGAGCAGGCAAGGGCATTTTTGTAAATTCAATTTAATGAAGATAGAATTTTGCCCCTGTGAAAAGCATTTTCGCCGTAGGACGAGACTCTCGGGCACAATGTGTATTTTTGTGCTTCGTCGCGATGTCGCAGCGAACTCTGGAGATTTTTATTTTTTTAAAACAATGCGTTTTCCCATTTTTGTCCTGAGTCCTAGGGTTTTGGTCGACTATTTAAGAGAGACTTAGCTCATTTTTTGGGAGATCGAGATTGTTAGGAAAGAAAAAGGGGAGATTGGAGTTTTGACGAATCTGGGTCTTCAATTTAGGGAAGATTTCGTTCCTCTTTTAATTCCTAGCATGTTGAACTCTTTATTTACAGTTATTGTTATGTTTTCCTTTACTTTGAGTATGAACTAACTCAATTTTGGGTTAGGGTTTTGATGTAACTCGGATTACAATGTTTTAGTCTTTAAATTGATGTTATTTTTTAGTTCTATTGCTTGGATTATGTGTTTATTCTTGTTCTTAATGCAATTGGATGTTGAGTTTTTTCGTTCAATTTAATGTTGAGCATGATGAGACTAAAAAGTGATTCATGTGTTTGCCTCTTAGAGTAAACACTGTAGATTGAGTGAACGCTAGAGATAGGTTCGGAGATCTATGAAATCGCTTTAGGATTCCACTTAGCTTAATGGACTTTGAACTGTTAATCTTCATTTTGTTAGGTGAAGAAGGTTAACGGGAATAAGTAGGAGAATATAGCCAAAGAATGTATATTCTACATATTAGGGTGTCCGATTTATAATCCTTGCATGTGAATTTGAAAGCAACAGGAATTGTAGATTAAATCAGAGTATCCTAGTGAAGTCTAAACCCTAACCTCTTTTGCCTTGAATTGATATTGTCTTAATTAGTTAAATTTTAATTTAAGTTGTTTACTTTTGTATTTAATTTCTGCTTTATTTTTCTCCCGCAAATCCAAACAATCTTTGTGTTCTTCAATTAGTTACAAAACTAGGAAAATTAGTACTTAACACTCAATCCTCATGGGAACGATACTCTATTCACCATTTTATTACTTTTTACGACTAGTGCACTTGTTACGTATGCATGTTGTCGAATCACACGCATCAAGTTTTTTATTTATGATTTTGGAATTCAAGTGATTGCATTATGATTTTGGAATCTGCACTCTTGTTGGGTTTAATTTATAAAATTCAGTCAGTTTATTTTGCATCAAACACATGGACAAGATGGTAAATATGAACGACTTCAAAATTTTAAAATCTCAATGGTTACTGATTGTTTTTAGCATTAAGGACAAATTGGTAATTTAAATTTTATACATGGTTGGAGATATATTGGTAATTACAGAATTAAAAAGGGGTATATTGGTAATTGAATGTGTTGACATGACATATAATAATAATAAAAACAATTCCTATCAATAGTTAAGGGCATTTCCGTCTTTACAGTTTAATTACTGTATTTGACAGAATTTCAAACGGAACTTGATGTCTATGTGTCAATTTAGTATTTTGAAACTTTTTGAGTGGGAAAATGTCATCAAGGCAAACCCTTGGGTGGAAAATAGTCGTTTACTCTTAATAGAATTATATAACTATTGTAGTTAATTGTTCAATAAAGGTCATAAATAAATCAACTCTAATAACTGGCTTACTAGTTATCATAAACAGATCAACAACTTCTTAGTTGCAGTAGACTTTAACCCACCCTTTAATTATAGACAATCAATAAGCCATAAAACTTAATTTAACTTACTATTAAATTAAGTTGAGCATTACAATTTGAGATCACTTTGCCGAGGAAAAAAAATAATTCCTCACCAAAAACCATTTTCAGTAAGGAATTTGGATTCCTGGTGAATTATTTGATCACTAATTATTGTAGTGTAAAATCAGAGAAAAAAAAAAAAAGTCAATGGTACTTGGCTTAAACTGTCTATGCCAATGGCATGCTAGACCAGCCAATGTTAATGGGAAGGATTTTTACATAATGACTTCTAAGGCCTCTTGAATTCGTATCCAGGATTTGAAAGACTTCAGATGATGTGGGGAGAATAAATAAAACCTGTTAATTTTAAGAATGCCTAAGAAGTGATTAAATCATTCTTGTTAATTCTCTAAGAATGCCAAGAATTAGAAAGAAACTTTCAATGAAACAAATAAGTTTATTCAAGCCAAACTCTAGATACAAGACCTTATTTATAGTAGTCTAAGAGGTAGAGATTAATCTAATACAAGATAAAAATAAAGGGTGAAGTATTTGAACTTGCCAATTAAGTTTGAAACTATGACATATTACACAAACACCTCACTTACCGTCAATTTCTCTCTAGTCCGTCGGAGCTCTCTTCTCTCACTTAGAGAGACTCCTTGAGACTTGTATAAAGGTTACTGCACCAGGGGGCAATCTTTGCTTTTGATAAACTGATTTTATCATTACTTTGCAACAAGGAAAACCAGGTGATGCTGCTTGTGGGGATATATTCAGATTGCCTAAAAGGAATTTTTTGGTTGCTTCCTAGTTGGTCTAGGCATTCAGCCTTTTAAACTGAGCTAATAGGTGTCATCCTTGGCCTTGCTGCAGAGATTGATTTTTCTAAAGGATGTTTATACCTTTGGTTAGAGTGTGATTTTTCGTCTGTTGTTTAGTGTTTTCAACCTCTTTGGCGCCTTTATACCTTGTGGATTAACTACAAGAAGAAAATGAGTTCAATGCAAATTTACTGTTCCCATAAATATCGTGAAGGCAACCAAATTGCTAATCAATACTTATGAAAGGGTGGGATGAACCTCCTTCGGATGTTCATAATATGCTTCTCCACGATTGTTGGGAGTTTCCTAACTACTGATTTTCTTGATTTTTCGTTACGTTGTATTTTCTGATGTCTTATCTTTCTTTTTGTCAATAATATTACTCCTTAATCTTTAGGATTTGTCCCCTGTTTTTCGCGGTTTGCAAAAAATAAATAAATAAATAACATACGATCATTTGAAATTTAGGAAGCTCATATTAAGAAAGAACCCAAAGATAAGATCAAAATATTGAAACAAACTATACAACTATGTTCTCTATTTTAAAATCATTAATTGTTTTACAGTGTCTAATAAAAAGGAGAAAATCCTAATCCTCAATTGACAAAGTTCCAATCCATGCCCTCCCAATGGCTCTTATGATGAATACAAACATTAAAATAAATATTCAAATAGAGTTTTAAGTTAGATGAAGCTAACAATGAAAATCAAGGCTTCCATAATTTCATTGTGCAATCTTCACTATACGTTGCAAGAAGATTTCTGTGGGGATGATGAGTCACACCGATTACATCCTTTTCATGGACCTGACAATGACAAAGGAAATCCCAATTCATACATATATATGTCGAACAAGATTATCATGAACATTTGACACACATTGACATGCATATATTGTAGTTGTACACGAGGTCTAGAGATGGAAGTACAGATATACTTGACTGGGAGAGGTTTAAAAAAATAACAAATCCATGTGTTAGTATTGAATTCGTTCATGGTCGAAATAAAAAAGCAGCCTATGGTAAGCCACTCTTCTAGTTCAGTATCAATATTTCTTCTACCCTTCTAACTTTAGTGGTTTGGATTCAAGTTCAGCATATGGTCAACAACCTTGAGATACAATTACCAATGTTATTAACCAATTATTGATTTCTTTATATGTAAAAGCAATTTAAATGCTTAATATTATAACATCTCACCCTTCACCAAGGAAAAAAATACCTTCATTAGATGCTCTAGTTTACCGGACTGATAGCTGAAGCAGTACAGGTTCCTACAAATAATTCACACATTACATCAGAGAGCATACAAACTAATTTAAGGCATTTTTTAGGGAGAAAATTTAAAATAAGTTGAAAATTAATTCTGCCGAACATGTTGAATATTAATTCTGCCATAACAGTGGTTTAGTCAACTCCATTGCAAAATATACAACTGTTGCAGACAAAAACCACATCGTAAAATTTGCAAGCACCACAGTAATGAGTATGAACTTAGAACTCCAATGTTTCAGATTTTGCTACTTGCAATCATTTTGATGCAATCCTTAGATTACATGAGAAACAAAGCGAAGACCAAGCCCAAACAACAAAGACTTGAGTCAATGATTGGAGACTAGTACTACAACTCAAGAAAAGAGTAACAAGATAAACAGTCCAAGCCTCTTGAAAGTTACACTTGTCATTACACAGTATGATAAAACAAATCATTAATCAGAATAAGTAAATAACACAGTAAAACTTTAAATCTATGCACAAAAAGCTATCACTTATAAAAATACCTGTCTTCCCCAACACAGTAGATCCATTCACCTTTCGGTGAAACAGTAGCTGCAACAAAGTCTCCGCCTTCTCTTTTCCCAGATGAAAAACTCTTTACAACCTACATCACCAAAATCCAGAAGTAAATTTCCACAAAAGAAAATTATTTGCACTCTTCCAAAGAAACTGAAAGACAGTAATTTCAGTGTTGGTGAACGGTGAGTCTTAAATAACATCAGTTACTAAAACATTTAAAGGTGATTTTTCAGAAAAAGGACAAGTTTTGATCTCTAGTTATAATCACAGTCTCTTCAATAATAAAGCTTGTTCAATTGTAGAATAACAGAGCAATTATGCACTAGTGAAACTCATAAGATTTGAAATAAAAATAGAGCCCAATAATGTACAGCACACTCTCTTGCCGTCATCTATGACATTAATAAGTACCTGTCCCTGAAGGGTCATTATGTATATTGATGATGTCTTATTGCATACGACAATGTGATCAGTGCTTTTTGGGAATAGATGAACAGAGTTCACAGAAGCATCACCTCCCTAACGTTCAAAGGAAAAAGAGCAACAATTAGATAGAAGAACCGATGAAGTAAATTAAAGACGTGATAATTTAGTAAAACTACTCTATCCAATAAGGAATGCATAATTCATCTGAACAAAACAGATACCCTCAAAGGAGGTGGTGGCTTAAATGTCTGTATGCAATCTGTGGTCTTCAAGTCCCAGACCTATAGAAGACAACAATGAAGAATGGAGTCAGACAATGAAGATTACAGTATCTAGTAATCAGAAGATCCAACAATCAAAAGAAAATTAAAATCAACTAACTTTTACTGTGCAATCGCTCGAGGCGGTAATAACACGAGCTCCATCACTTGTAAAGATGGCATCATTCACATAAGATGTATGACCACGGAATTCTTTTAACAATTTTCCAGACTTTAGGCCATGAATTCTGCATAAAACATAACAGTCATTGAGAATTTTTAGCAATGAAATTTTTTTATGTCTTGCTCTTAAAATTGCTAGCATTAATTTGCAAACTAGATAAAAGGGCTACACTTGGATGTGTTGATAACCAAAAGTATGAAAATAATAATTTTTTTCTTTTTTACATAAGAAAAAAAAGTTCAAAAATACTAGTAAAATAAACAATAAGGCTTATAGCTAATAGTGTTATTTGCTGTAGTCTTTGTCTCTTCTTGAAAAGAAAGACTTTGTTACTTGTTAACTGAATACTAAAATGAACTATCGATGTGCATAACAAGTGGGCATACAAAAATAGAAGTCTTAATAAGCTTAATTGACCTTGCTGTGCTGTCAAAGGATGTACTTAGTAACTGACTTCCATCTCGAGAGAAAGAAAGACTGGTAACACCCTGAGAATGTGCTCGTTCAAGGCGGCGCAAGCATTGACCGGTTCTTATACGCCAAACCTGAAATTGTATTCTTAAAATTAGATTAAGCTTGTTTCATATTATAACAGCTTGAAGTTTGAACCAAATTAGATTTCATCAAGAATATCACAAGCAAACACAAACTGGAAAGTCAGGAGAAACTTCAAAATGCTTCCGGATAAAGCCCAGGGGCATATGATAGCAAAAGAAGAAAAAAACACTGATGAAAATGAAGCACAAAGCACAGGCTTGGAGGATGTTTCCGAAACTTGTGAAACAGCAAAATTACTAAACTCTTGATTCAGGTGGTGGTGCTGATGCCATTAACATGGCTGTTTTAATTTTTATTGAGGACAGTATTATAAACCTAAGTACTCCTTCCTTGAATGAAGATCGAGCCACAGGCCGGCTACTTAACCAGTAATATGTGTTTGTGTCACGCCCTCGTTATAATCTTCCGAGTCAAAGAAGGCAAATTTTATTTTTGTCCATTTTAGACTTCCTGTCTACAAACTTCCACCATTCATCTCTTCACACCAACAACCTCTTGTGGCAAACAGATAAAACCGCAAATAACTTTTAATCTAACTATTAGAAACCGAAACTTCAAGACACTAAGGAAACACACCATGCTCATAAGATCATAGATTAGTCGCCACCCAAGTAAACAAGCATGACAATTAAGGGTAACACATTCCAAAACATAGAAAACTACAATAATAATAATAATAATATATTGCTTCTTGCTTAATCTTCACATTTCAACTGTATTACAAAATCATATTCCCGTTTAACCTTATTTTTCCTTTACATAATAAGACAACATTACAAAAATACCTCCACAAACTAGAACTGTGTATTACTGGAAGTTCGGTATAATAACTTTATGTAAACCTTGAAACTCGCCTACTCCAAATTTTGTACTACCAAGTAGTAACAAGGACTTTGGCTCAAATATTTGTCAGGGCTAGAAAATCCTCTCATAAAGATTGGGTCGACAAGACAGCACCCATGTTTACCCCAAGATAAACCCTGTTTGGCTGTATCACACACCCAAGTTACCAGTGAAATTCATGAGCACCTTAAGAAAACCCTCTTGATCTGTATTATTGGCAGATTCACACCCTCAAACATGCAGCTTTCTGTAACCAACCAGAGACTCCACATTAAATATAAGAGAATCGACTCTCAAACTAGACAACTCCTTTGTTAGTTGCCTAAACCAATAACTTCCATGTTGATCCCTCAAACGCTAAACTAATTTGATCATGTTTCTGATCCTTGCTTTTCCTATTCATTATTTTTCAAGCGCCTCCCCCACCCCCTACCCAACACACACACACACACACAAAACCCTCATGTGAATGGGATTTGATCCCAAGATCTCTAATGTTCACAATGACTAAAATTATTCCACTCTGATCTGTCAAGATCTCTTCTGCAACCTAAAGAGGCCTAACCAATCGAACTAGTTAGACCCACCCTCTTTTTCCTTTAATCACTCTCCACTGGATAAAAGTTCGGTGAACTCAATAATGATTATAGCTACAGCTTAAATATCATGAAGTTTTCATCACATAATATTTCAGGAGAAGGAATTAAAATGTCTATTCAAGGTAGAGCTGTAATGGTCATTACAGATTCTTGAGGAAAGGTGTTCAGATAATGTATACAGAGTCTGAGGAAAGGAGTCCAGGTATTGTATATGGAGTCTGACGAATGATGTTCAGAAATTATACATAGAGTCTGAAGAAAGCTGTTCAGATGTTTTATATAGTCATAGCCTATAGAATTTGGCATAAGGCATTCATTGTCAAGACTTGAATCCACACTCTTGTTCTTGTAAGCCCAGGGTCTAACCATTTTGGCATGAAATGATCCCAATACATCAATAATTTTTTCCAGACTTAAATGTCCAGTATAATTTTGGTCAAACTAAATTTCCGAATGACCATATGTATATTTTAAAGCAGGCAAAGCATTGATTATAAATGACAAATATTAAATCGTAGTTAATATAAAAAATATTCATCTTTAATCCAGTCATGCTTGACTACAATTCAAACCATGCCTAAATAGCAAAAATTTGAAGCTAAGACTTACTTTGATCTTTCCATCTTGTGACCCAGAAGCAAGCATCTCCGAGTCTCTGCTAAAATCAACACAGAGGACAGTTTCATCATGCATCATGAAAGTTTCCTGCAAAAGTTGATATTACTTTGGTAAAGGCACCATATGGAGACACAGCTCCCCTCAGAAAATGTCTAGAAGCAAATCCTATGAAACAAAAGACATTAAAAGCATAAATAATTCTCATGACTCTCCATTGACTGTTGCTTGGCTCAGTTCTAATCAAAATTATGCAAGTTGCTCCAGATTATTTACATTATATAAAATAATGTTTCTTATCCAAATACCTATAAGATGCTATAGAACAATGATCAACAACACGTAAAAACCAGCATCATACAACTACAACTTACAGATTCTATAGGAGCAATTGAGAAGATACAAGGCACATACATCAATCATCAATTTCGCGACTATTAATTTACATTTCCCAGACCATAAACACCAACATTCCAATAATACGGAACACAATAGCAAGAGCTTTAACACCCACTCTATCTTTATTCTTCTAGATTAATTTACAAGCAGACAATACAGCACTCCACCTGTTCTGTTTCTAAGAATAACAAAAAGAAGTAAACTGATGCCACAAAATACATAGTAGTCTTTCCAAACAACACTAACAATGAATTAAATTTTAAAAAATTAAAAAAAAAAATTTTAAACATTTTATCAAATAAAAAAAAAATTAGCAACGGTCGCTTAAGAGAATAATTAATATTATAGTCTAATAACATAGATTAAAAGAATGATTATGGGACACTGACACCGTTCTGATACATTTCTATTAGTAAACTTCATAAATTAATTTACAAAATCACATACATGTTCATAAAAACTTTGGAATCAGCATATGTTCTCAATATTTTACATATTTCCCATGCCTTTTCAAATTCTCAATTTTATTTTGTCAAGTTAATCATTGATTAAACTTCATTGACCAAAAGGGTAAAGTTGCAGAGATATTACCTAATACTTGGCAGCTTGGAGGGGAAAAAGAAAATGTAGAAAATGAAAGAATAGGCAGAAAGGAGATAGATGAAACGACACCGGATGAAAGAGAGTTCACAACAGTACAAATGCTTTCATCAAAGGATGAGCTCTTTTATTTTGCAAGATATGACATAGTAAGATCCAACAAAGACTTGGCTTTATGGAATCTGGAAAACGGGCATCCACTTTTGCAGCTTCTATTTCTACAATGGTGTACCAAGTTGTAATTTTCATGGTTGAAAGTGTTGGCAGAAATCTGAGTTATTTGCATCAACCTTTCTCTGTGTTTGCCATCACACACATGTATAATGCAGACCACATATCGACAAGGCATTTTCCACAAGAATTCCATGTAAACCAATATTAGACCATAAGGATAAGATGGTCAATGAAGGAGGATAAAGATACTCACGTCAGCCTGGTACTGAAGGTCCTTCTTGAGTTTCCCAGTTAGGTAATCCCAAACCTGGTAGTGTCCAAGATCTCAGATAGTATTCAAGTGGATAAATAACTTCTAAATGCTGACAAAAAGAAATGTGATCATAAATACCTCAATAAATCCATCGAACGAGGAAGATACGAGAAACTGCCCATCTGGAGAGAAACGAGCACATTCGGCATGACTTTTTGTCCCAAACTAACAGCAATAAACCAACAGAAGATGTGACTTTGAAATGAAAAGTTAAGGTCATTATACAGCTGCGATATTATCACAAAGGAAGAATCCAAACACAGAATACAAATCAAGATATTCACCAAAAACAATTAAAAGTTTAGTGCATGAAAGAAAAAGCGGTACATATAAATCTGGAAACGGTATTTGAAGTTCAAAGGAGCGCACAAAAAGACTAACTGTTCCTAAACAGTCCAATTTCGACATTACCCAATGCCCTCTTTTTTCCCCACCTTTTTATGGTTTGCCAGCATACAATAAAATCTCACCTTAATAGTGTGGGAAAGAGTTGTTGGATACATGTCATCCACATCTTGTTTCATAGCAGCAGTTCCTCGAAATAAGTCAAACTGTGTTCCAGGAGGTAGCAACCCTGGATAGCCAAATAAAAATATTTCATGAAGATGCAGCAAAATTCAAATAATATATTGAAGCACCCTTCGAGCAATTGTCCTCGGCAGTTACTGCAAGCTAGGTGAATCTCAGGCATCAAGAATAAAACAATGTTCTGTAAGCAAAAGAAATGCGTTTAAAAGAATAGATGCAGATTTATCATGGGCACTTCTACTTCTTACACCATATGCAAAGAAAAACAGAATGTCATCTCCACAAGAATCCAACTATAGAAAATTCTTCAAATCACTTTAATAGAAACTCTCCAATCAGTGCTGTACAAATATAGAAAAATATTAATTTCAGAATGGAACCTTGGTGCTGCTGCCACTTCAGGGCCTGACCAATTAGAGCCATTAACCGAGATGGTGGAACAACAGAAACTTCAGCAGCAAGAGCTGGAAATGGAGAAGTAAATTTATTAAGGAAATGGAGAAACAGTTGACAGCATTTGTATTCATATGTGTGTTTAAATTCACAGAAAGAAGAAAATTTAAAATGCTTATGCAATGTTTTATTCATTGCTGCTATTTTATATCCTAATTTTGATTACCAGCTGCTTAAAGTATCCCTTGGCACTCTTTAAAAGAAATATGATTAATCAATGAGAAGTTCGTTCCAGATTTTCCACCCTGATTATGACAAGATTTTGTTAACTAGGTAAAATTCTAAGATGGTCCAACAAAACTGAAATTTTCTTATCTCCTATTTTTATCTTCTTTTTTACTTTTCTAATATTAGAGTGCCCAAAAGCCCATCATTAAGATAAGGCCGACTTCAAAGAGAGATTTGTGCCTCTCTTATTCTAAGCAGCACCATTTTTCTGCTGCAACTAACCTTAACTTTAGTCAGTCACTGAAGAGAAAGAATGAGGAAAGTAGATGAGGAGAACCTTATTAAGGATCTCGCTCGGCCTTCAAAAGTTGATTTCTATTCTTAGATTATGTTTCTTTCAGTTATAAAGTTGCTGGTTTAGTTTGTTATAGTTTTCTTTTTAATGTTACAAGTAAGCAGTATTCTATTAATATAATCTTTTACGGGTATAGCTTGTAATTAAGTTGATGGATCTCACTTTGGGTTACATCATTCTTACACTTTCTTTTTATATTTCTCCACTTCCACTATTTCTATCATTCCACACTAAATTCAAACACCAGTCTCCAGTACATTCAGATACCATCCCACCAAGCATTTCAAATACCATCCCACCCTACATTAACATACCATCTTCAGCACTCAAGAACCTAGCAGACCTTACAAGCTTAGCTATATAAATGGCTAGCAACAGAGGGACCACTTGTTTGAAATAAGCCATTTAGCATAAGTGCTAATTCAGTGGTGTAACCACATTTAAGCATCAAAGTTTCAACTCAAGCCAGGAGAGTTCCCATGTGTAGAAGAAGGGAACAATAATGCAAATGAAAATATTAGAAAGCAAAGTTATTAGTTTTACTGCTCGAAGCTTCATGTGCATTCAACCTTTATAACAAAATGAATGCCAAGGGAAGCCAAATCCAAATCCTTTTTGTTACTGTTTTCCCCTTTGATACAATTTTTTTAATTTATATTTATACTCCCAAGGTCAACAGAGACAAACAACTTCAAAACTAGAATATGCCAATGTATTATTTAATATTTTAAGAAGTATTGGAGATCTACAAAATCAAATGTAACAAACAATCAGAAGATAATTGGACAGAACCTTGCGCTATTTGTGCACGGCGTCTCTCTTTGGTAGAATCTTGATAAGCCTATCAGAAAATAGTTTATTGATCTCAGTAAAGAATTCATAATCCATGAACTATAAAATTACATTCTTCCCTAAACCACATAATTGGCTCTAATTCCGCTAGCAAACATAAAAAAGCAAAACCAGCACATAAGATTAAGAATATGTTTAGTGTTAAAGGCACTTGGCACTTTCTACGCATTAGTAAATCATGGTCCATTCTCAAAACTGTTATTTATATATAATCACTAACAGTAGAAAATAAAAGAAACCAAGATCCCATGTCTGCAAACATCCAAAAATCATGATAACTAACAAAACGACTAGCTTCTAAACTCATGAGAAATCATAAAAATTACATGAAAACTAGCTTCTAACCTCATGTGGATCAAAATAAGTTCTAACAAGGAGATGCTCAAGTCTTAAGTATCTCTCAGGTTGCTCCTGCTTCATGACACCCATTGCCTGTGTTTGCCTCAAAATAGCACGGGCAGTATCCAACTCACGGAGTTCAATCATTTCCAACACAATCTGCACAACAAAGCAAATGGGTCCATCTCAAAAGTCAGCTTCTTACCAAGTTCAATCACTTGTAACATAATCTACATAGTCAAGCAAATGGTATAACCCAGAACTCAATTTCTTAGAAAGTTCAATCATTGCTAACACAATATGCACAATCAAGCAAAAGGTTATACACAAAAGTCATTTTCTTACGAAGTTCAATCATTCCTAACATAATTGCAGAATCAACCAAATAAGTATAGCCCAAAACTCAAATTCTAACCATGTTCAATAATTTCTAACATAATCTTCACAATCAAGCAAATGAGTATGTCAACTTCTTACGAAGCTCAATCATTTCCACCATAATCTACATAATCAAGCAAATGGGTAGATCCAAAAGCTCAACTTCTTACAAAGTGCAACAATTTCAAACACAATATGCACAATTAAGCAAATGGGTATACCCCAAAATTCAACTTCTTACAATGAGCAATTATTTCTAACACATCCACACAATTCAAGCAAATGGTTACATCCCAAAACTCAAAAACTTCACAAGAACTTCATACCTGCTCATACAAGTCCTCCAATTTATTTCTGGGAAGCTTAAGCTGTGCCACTTGAGGCAATATTGCATCCCATCTTCCCCCATTGATATCAGCAACAAATGTTTCGATGCTGTCCACAGTGTTCAAAGACACTTGGCATTCGTTCTGTAGTGTCTGAAATGTTTGTTGTAGTGAATTTTCTTTGCAAAACTGAAGAACAATCTTTATCACACTGTAGAGTTGAGTTAATCAGAATCTCTCGGAATCAAAAATCATATCAAAAAATAGAGCATTGTAAAAATTGTAAAACTTACTCTCGAGCTTCAATTTCTAAAGTCATTCTCTCCCCTTCGATGCTGTTAAAAAGACAGGGAGAAAGAAGGAGAGTTTAATTTAGAAAGATGAAATAAATCAGTAAATATACTTTAAAAGTGGCGAAAATCGATTGTCAAAGGTCAATTAGTGTTGCATGCAAAAGTTTAATTCACCATTGCTGTAACTTAAACTGTCGGAAGAAATGGAGTCACCACCGGAAAGTTCAGAGAATCAAATTATTAAAAAAATAAATAAAATTTACCGTACGAAGCGATTTGAGCCAACGCGATTGAGTGATATAATGATTCAGCCAACGGGATTATGATGGAATGATGAAGCAAACGGAATGAGCAACAATATCGAATAGGGAGAGATGGAGTAATTAGGGATTTGAATACGGCATACGAAAGAGGGGTTTAGGGTTTAGGAATTTGAAGTTTGGATAAATAAATAAATAAATGAAATAAGTACTGAGTTATTTTGTTCCCGTTTTTTACAACTAATAATTAAGAGATATATTAAATTGCACTATTTGTACGTTTGAATTGAGAAGTAACATATTTTCTTTTCGAGTAATGTTATAGTATCGAAGAATGCATATCGAATTCGTACACCAATGATGTGGTATAATCCTGACCTCGATTATTATGAATTTAATTAATCGACGTCAGGATTGCGCGCCTCATTGGTATCGAATCGATACGCATCCTTCGTACTGTATTATTTTCCTTTTCTTAAAGTTTAAGAAATAGCATTGTCTATTCACCACATATTTTCTAACAAGTGAATAAAACTTATACTATTTACCTATTTTCTCAAGCTAACCACTCTCTCTCCATTGTCAAAATCCAAACTTTCAAACCTAGAACTCAACTCTTATTTATGCCAAAATGAGTGGAATTTGAGTAGATACTTTGGATTTAGGTTTTGGGGATTTTAGGGTTAAGAATGGGCGATATCTATGTTGAGTTGTTGAGAAGGACACGAAAATGGCGAATAATTGGGTTGTATGGTGGTTGAAATTTGCATTTTTTGGCCAATCAAGGGGTTTCAACTAGACTTGGCCAAAAAAAGCAGATTTGGCCAAGAAGGTTCTATCCAAAGGTCGAATGGAATGGCAAGGTTTACAACACTTAGTATCAAAAAGGCAAAATTGGGCAAATCGATCTACATGTGGTTTTTGGCTAAAACTTGTTCAACCTCTATCCATTTTTCCATTTGATTCGAATTCTCGGAAATGGCTAAAACCCATACCCATATTGCCTAAACCACCTATTTTCAACATATTTACTGAAATATAAATTTAATATTTAATTTATTAACATGTTTCCTAGAAATATATGCACACTACTCAAATTTTTAGATTTCAACAACTTTCAAATAACAAAACTTTAATTCAAAACCAATATATCAAGAATTAGAGATGAGCGTTTACCTGCCCCGAATAGGTTAGGGATCCCCACAACTTCAGGGATGGGGAGAGAAGAATTCCCCAGGGTAGGGGCGGGGCGAGGGGGGTTTGGGGATGGGTGTATCCTGCTCCGCCCGAGAATACCCGCCCCACCCCGAAAATATATACTTAATTAATTATATGATTTATAAAATTTGATGAGAAATAGATTTTATGTAAAATAATCATTATGAATCATGTGATGCAATCAAATTTTGTAATTCTATTAAATTATTATTGATATTTTATTTTATGTAATAAAAGTAATTGAAGGCATAAAGTGAATATATTTTAATTTGATTAAAGATTAATAATTTATTATGTTTTATAAGGATACTTAATACTTTTGAGTAAAGATTAATGATTCAAAGATCTAAGTAATATATCCCTCTCTAGGTTCTCTCTTTTCTAATAATAGATTAAGTAATTTTTTACCTGCTAAAGATGTGTTCACGTTCGCATTTGAATATGTATGTGATTGATTTCCTTTATTATTAGTGTCAAATATAATCACTGTAATTATGCAATTTAAAAAAAAAGTCATAAAATTATTAATTTTTGATATATTTCCTTAATATTATAAAACTAATCACTACTGAAACCTTTAATAATGGAATAATATTGCCATATGTGAAGTTATTATTTATTATTATTAATGTAATGAATTAATGAATTATATCCTATAATGAATCATATTAATATATTCTCAAGCATAAATAAAATATATTATGTCACTATACATTTTAATTTAATAATCTGTAAATTAAATATAAACTATTAACATAATCTAATAGATGAACAAGTCTATTATAAGAGTTACATAAAAATTGAAACTCTAAATCTTAAACGTATGAAATTACAAATCCAAAATTCCAAATTGTCCGATGTCAAAATTATTAAATTATTATTTATTTGTTTTTTGGAAGGGATTGATTAATATTAAACACATTTATAATTAATTGAAAATATTATATAACCCTCTAAATGATTAAAGAAAATATTAATAAAAAATCAAGTTAAAGAAAAACAAAACTAAAAAATATCATATATATATATATATATTACAATTAAATAATCCACCTCCAAATTGACATGTTTTCATACATAATTAGTTTTTATTTAAGGGGAGACTATAGTTATAGTATAAACTTTATATGTAAATAAAGCTCAATTCTATCCTTAAAATATTCTTGTAAATAACTATAGTTTATAGTATAAACTTTATGTAACTAAACTTTAAATAATTGATTTTATATATTATTTGAAAAAAAAAATAAAATAATAATTATCTAAAATAATTGGGATTAAAAACTCAATTTTTCCCTAAAATGTTTTAAAATTACTTCTTATCTCCAGTCCTTAAAATCTTTGGGTAATTAGAAAAAAAAAATTAATAGTATTAATTTTTTTGGATATCAATTATCAATAATCAATTAATAAGTATAATGGTAGTTGATTTTTTGCCTACAATTATTCACCTGAAATATTATATCATTTCTAGATTTTAATTTGGTGAAATTATACTTGCTTGATTGATGTTACTTTTTGATGGATTTTGGTGGTGGTGGATGTTTTGTTGTCTGCGTGCTAAGAGGTGTAGGATAACAAGAGAAAATTTAGCTGGCCGGTCATCCCAAGTGGATTAAGAAAATGGCCATGAAACTGTTATAAATTTTTAATTTAGGGAAGATGATAGTTGGATTATTAAACACGTAAAATGGGTTAAAATGAAAAGATTAAAAATATTGTGGGCCGAATAGAAATAATGAAAGTTTTTAAAAATTGAAATTTCGCAAAACAAGCCCCACAAACTATTCACCTCGCTTAATCGAATTCATCCGTTCAAAAAGCGATTGTTGAACGAAAAAAAGACGCTATTTTTCCGATCGAACACCTGCAAATTTGCACCCTAAATCAATTTCTTGAACCCTAAAACGAAAACAGACGCGATTTTCGGCGATATAGTCGCGATTTTCGATCGATTTATTGAACCCTAAATCGATTTCCTTAACGTAAACGAAATCTGTGCCATTTCCGGCGATACAGTCCACATTTCCGATCGAAACTGCAAACTTTGACACCAAATTCAATCCAAAACCATGAGTGACACTGACAATGAGGAGGGAAGCCCAACGCCACTTCGAATCCTAGATTCTGTGGCGCAAGCAGTTCAAGGCTGCTCCGGTGGATACATGACCAGTGAAGGTGGTCCACACGTAGAGGAGACGCCGACGGCACAAGAACAGAAGGAAGAACCGCAAACGGGTCTGAAGACGGGATTTCGGCGAGAATTCAGGCCATGAGGAGGATTCTGGGGAGAATTAGGCCAGGAGGAGTCGTCGGAGGATCCAGGCGACAAGGAGGAGGCCGGCGAAGATAGGATACGTAGTTTGGGAATATACTTGTACTTTCGCTTAAGCGATCATTTGATCGCTTAAGCGATTATTTTGTTTTACTCGTGATCGCAGTCACGATCGCTTAAGCGATAAAATGATCACTTAAGCGATTGAGATCTGGGCAGATGATTCTGCCCAGACCGAAGATCGCTTAAGCGATCATGAGGTTTTACTCTTGGTCGCTTAAGCGATCTTAGGTCTGGCAGAATCAAGATATAATAAGCGATTGTTGTATCGCTTAAGAGATTCTCAGTTAACTCTTGGTCGCTTAAGCGATTTAAATCGCTTAAGCGATCTTGCATGAGGCAGAGTAAAGATCTCTTAAGCGATCCGAGATCGCTTAGCGACTACGGGTTTTGGTTTATTTTTGTTGCTGACATTTTATTTATATCGATTATGCAGATTGTGCGGACCGTAAACTGCAGAGATTACGAGTTGGAGCCTATAAGTGAGAAGGTACCCTTCTTCCCTGCAAGGGTGACGGTGAGGTCGAGCTGGGAGGTTTTGACAGAATAAGGGCCATTTTAGGTAGAATTAGGCATGGTGAAAGAGATTTTGGTGAACTTGTTTCGGTCAGTTTTTAAGAATTGGAACAAAGTGGAAAAAGTCATTTTGGGGGCAGGGAGTGCATTACATGTTGATGCACTCAGTAAATGCAACAAAAAATATGAAATGTGGTTCGTGGTGGAGGGAAAGCCACTACGGTTTGGTGATGGAGTATGCGTTGGTGACGGGCTTAGGATGCAGGAAAGTGCCTACTAAGGCGGAGGCAGACGCAATAAGGAGAGTGCGGGAGCCGTAAACTTTTGTAAAAAGGTTTTGAAAGGGGCAAAGTCTATTAGGAAAAGTTTAGAGAAGAGGCTATATACAGTTTGGTTTAGTGATGCAGAGAAGATAAAAGTGTGTTGGTATTGTTTTTACATTTCTTATTGGTTGGTGACTCAACAAAAGCTGTTGAGAAAGATTGGTTGTTGTTTTAAGCGACTTGGAGTTCTTTAATTCTATCCGTGGGGACGGATCATTTGAGCGAACCTAAGAGCCTAAAAAAACCAGACATGGCGTTAAAGCATGCGAATGGGGCGGGAAGGCTAAACCAAGCACGTATAATTTGTTTGGCTTCCCATGGGCAATGCAGGTAAATATAATAGCTCTTTGTTATATTTTTTATAATATGTGTGTGTTGAATAATGACATGGACTGTTTTTTTACAATGTAGGCTTGGATGTACGAGGCCATCCCTGTCTTCGCTAAGGTGGGGGAGGCAACAATTTGAATGTGCAACAGCAATTTCCTAGGATGTTGGGTGGCATGTCGAGAGCTGTAACCATTGGGATTATGGCAATTAGAGATTGAGATTCAAGCAGCAGCTGGGTAAGATTGAAGGATTAAGCTTTTGAATATGCAGTTGCTTTTTTATTTTGCTTCAATCTGATTGATTTTATTTTATTGCAGGGAGTCGTCGTCCCTTTCTGACCGCTATTGGGGATGAAGCGGAAGAGGACTATGTCACATCTTTCAAAGCAATGGAGGAGAAAGAGGAACAGATAGACCGCCTGATGCGGGACCTAAAAGGGGTCACGCATGTGATGACAGTTGCAG